CGGCGCGGCGGCGCGTGCTCACCTACGGCTGCTGCTCCGAGCCCTACGCGGACGTGACCTTTACGCTGCTCCTGCGCCGCCGGGCCGCCGCCTACGTGTGCAACTTGCTGCTCCCCTGCGTGCTCATCTCGCTGCTCGCGCCGCTCGCTTTCCACCTGCCTGCTGACTCGGGCGAGAAGGTGTCGCTCGGCGTCACCGTGCTGCTGGCGCTCACCGTCTTCCAGCTGCTGCTGGCCGAGAGCATGCCGCCGGCGGAGAGCGTGCCGCTCATCGGTGAGCCCTGGGGCTCCTCGTGGGTGATGGTAGGCCGGGGCTTTGGGAGGTTGAGGGAAGGGAGGAGGCACCTGCCAGGGCGAACCCCTGCCCCTAGCACCCACCGGGGGTCAGTCTTTTTCTCAAGGCCTAGGTGCAGGAAGATTGGTCCTCCGCCCCCCACCCCCGTGTCGTTTGATTTTGTTTTATTGTGTTTATTTATTTATTTTAGCACCAGGGATCGAACTCGGGTTCTTGGACTTGCGAGGCAGGCGCCGGCACCGCTGAGCTAAATCCTAGCCCGTTTTATTTTATTTTTATTTATTTTTGGTGTTTTGAGACAGACTTTCCCTATATAGTTCAGGCTGTACTTGAAATTACTGCGTATCCCAGGCTGGCCTCAAACTCACAGCACTCCTCCTGCCTCTGACTCTTGAGTGCTGGGATTTTAGGTGTAAGTCCACCACCCCTGGCCCAGTGTTATAAACATAGGCAAAATGCACAGAGCGTTACCTGTGTACCAGGCTCTCTCCTGTACACTTGACATTTGAGGTGAGCAGCACCACAAACCTGTAAGGTAGATTCTCTCATCCCAGTTGTACAGAAAGGATTAGAATTTGCTTCCGATCATGCCCGTAACTATTGGAGCCTTCTGAGTGAGAGAACAGGCAGCTTCTGAAAATGCACCGGTGGGAAAGAGGTGGCAGGAACTTGACTCTTACCTCCTTCCCCTTCTGTCCTGGGAGCCTCCTGGTGGGCCTGTTCCAATTTGTGGGGGAGGCAGAAGGGATACTTAGGATCGCTAAGTTCTTGTCTCCAGCCCCAACTGGCTCTGTCTCTTGCAGGGAAGTACTACATGGCCACCATGACCATGGTCACTTTCTCAACAGCACTGACCATCCTTATCATGAACCTGCATTACTGTGGTCCCAGTGCCCGCCCAGTGCCAGCCTGGGCTCGGGCCCTCTTGCTGGGACACCTAGCAAAGGGACTGTGTGTACGGGAGCGAGGGGAGCCCTGTGGGCAGCCCAGGCCACCCGAGCCAGCCCCCAGTCCCCAGCCCCCTGCTGGGCTCCCAGCAGGCCCTTGCCATGAGCCACGGTGTCTGTGCTACCAGGAAGCCCTACTGCACCACGTAGCCACCATTGCCAGCACCTTCCGTAGTCACTGGGAAGCCCAGCACCGCCAGGAGGACTGGAAGCGCCTGGCCCTTGTGATGGATCGCTTCTTCCTCGGCATCTTCTTCTCCATGGCACTGGTGATGAGCCTCCTGGTTCTGGTGCAGGCCCTGTGAGGGTACCAGGCTGGGTACCAGGACACTGCCGCAGCCTCAGGACCTCCGGGCAAGGATAGCCAAGGCCAGGAGGTGTCTGGTCCTCACAGAAGCCAGCCAGTGGCTCTCTTCGGGACCAACACTACCGATTTCACAGTCCATAAGGATTCCCTGTTGTCTACGTGTCCTAACTACTCCCTTAATTTCTAAAAGAGCAGGAAGTCTAACAATATCCATGCTCATAGTTAGAGCTCTCAGGGAAAAGTGTAGTTATTATATAAGAAACAGAGCTGCTCCGTTTCCTGTCTTCCTAGGCAGCTGCTGTTACAGGAGTTTAGTCTTGCCATCCTTGCCTGAGGGCTCATGGAAGGAAATTCATGGTCTAGTTTCCAGAGCAGGTGACCATACAGACATTTGGCCCCAGAGCCTCCACCCATAATAAAGTAAGTGTGCACCTGGTACCTCCCCAGTGTCCTGTCTTCCCCTGGGGCCCTGTGGTGGTAGAAGTCAGGGATCCAAGTTCATTTCTACAGACAAGAGCCTTAGAACTTAGCAGAAATTACAGAATTTGCTTAGATCCAAGCAGGAATTACATCTTTGCTGAAAAATAACTAGGATCCCAGGAGAGAGCCCAGTTCTTCCTCTGCATTTTTCCTGGTCTCTGTCCTAGGAATTAGACGTGGTCCACCCATTCCTGCACAGATGTGTGGAGAGGTGGAAAGCATCTAAGTGGAAACAGCCATTCACAGGCACCAGTTCTTTTTCACACTCACACAGTTACTGGTGCCATCTCTGTGTTTCAGACCTAGTCTCTGCCCTCAGGAACTATGGACTGGGACCCATGGGAACACCCATGGTAGGGATCATAACCCAGCCAGTGGCAAAGGCCAGGGACGGCTTCCTGAGGAGTGACTAGGAGCACTGGGTGAGGGGGGAGCATCTGAGTCACGCAAGTCTCATGGCCAACTGCTCTCCCCTTACCCCAACACCCCTTCTGTCTCCAAGTGAGCAGCCACCTGTCCTGGAGTCCTCCCACCTCTTGCCCACCTCTGGCAAGAGCCTTACTCTTAGAGCCCAAGGTTCAGTCTCCAAACTCCTGAGTCCACCAGAGGTCTGGCAGCTGCAGATGGATTTACCAGGGAGCTGGAGAACACTTAGAGCACACACGTGGCCAACATCCTCCGGTTGGTGGAGGCACAGGCGGGGCTGCTTGGTGTCTGATGGGTCAGAGCCGGGATGGACTTGCTGGAAGAGTCCCCAGGAACCACAGCAACAGCAGCAGGGAGCAGACTGCAGAGAGGGAGGCCTGGCTTGTGGCTGCAGGGAAAACAGAGGCAGGAGAGGAAGAGAGTTAGGAGCAAAATGAGGACATGAAGATGGAGAGATGGGACAAGAGCTGGAAAGACTGATATGCAGGATTCAGGAAGGAAGTAGAGACACCCAGAGGCTGTCAGGTTTCAGTCCCCTGTCTTCAGAAGGCACAAATGAGGCGTTTCAGGGTGGGCTGGGATGTGGGGTGGAGACCTGAGTAGATCCCAGGGACACTGAATTTGGCTTCTCTGCCCACACCCTGGGAGGAGATGTGCTGGTGGGGGAGTGGATAGCTAACCTTTCCCAGTGCCTGAAGTTGCCCTAGAACCCAAGAAAAAGCCTGAGTTGGATGCTGGACACTTGGCTTCTGGTCCTGCACTAACTCAGTAACCCTGGGTGTGTCACTGCTGCCTCTGGTTCTCTATTGTACCCTGAGGGTAATAGCCTGGTCCTGCCTTCTTCTGACAGTCTGCAGTATGGAGAAGATAAAGTGAGGTGATGTCTGGGGAAGTGGGGTCCATCCTGGTGGGGTGGTCCAGAGTTTGGCTCTAGATCCATGCTGCCTGGGCCCCATCTCCCGTGCTATCTGTGCAGTATAGGGCTGGTTGCTTCTCCTCTCTGGGCCCTGTTTCTGTACTCTGTAGGATGGGGTGATGAGAGGACCTGCATCATGGAGTGTTACAGGATTAATGGCCCAGTGTATATGGAACTCTACATAGTGTTGTGTCGGAGAGGATGGGGGAGCAAGGCAGAGGCTGGAGTTCCTTCCTGCCTACTTCTCAAAGCCCTGGGGAGGGAGGCAGGAGACAGTCATAGCTGTTCTTCACCAGAAGGGTCCTGTTCCCATCAGAAGAGGTGTTGGCCCAGCTTAGCCCTGGCACAGCAAGAGTTCAGGGGAAGAAAAAGCACCTGGGTGTTGTCTGCTCCTGTTTGCTTGTTTAGAAATAAGGGAATTTTCTGGGCATGGGGGTGCACACCTGTAATGCCAGCACTTGGAAGGCTGAGGCAGGAGGATCACTGTGAGTTCAAGACCAGCTTGGGCTACATAGTGAGTTCCAGGTCAGTCTCAACTACATAGTGAGACCCTGTGTCAAAAAACAAAACAGCCTGGCGTGGTGGCGCACACCTGTAATCCCAGCACTTGGGGCTGAGGCAGGAGGATCACTGTGAGTTCGAGACTAGCCTGAGCTACATAGTGAGTTCCAGGTCAGTCTCACTACATAGTGAGACCCTGTCTCAAAAAAAAACCAAAAAACAAAACAAAACAAACAAATAAGGGAACTAAGGCCCAGAGAAAGAAGAGATTTGTCAAGAGAGAGAGGGTAGAGCCTACATTAGAGCCGAGGACTTCACCCAAGGCCTGGCATTGGACTTCAAAGGCAAGTCTGCAGGAGCCTGAGAACAGTGATGGTGGGTTCTGCAGCCTGAAGGATGCTGTGGGGAGCAGCCCCAGAATAGGCCTGATAGCACCCGCTCCTGCGAGGGACGGGGAGGCCCAGCCAGAGAGCAGGTGGATCTACTAACCCAGCCACCACTTGGTACAGTGCACACCCTCTGGGAGAATTTAGCAACCCCCACAACTGTATGGTTAAGAGGGCTCACTTTGAGAGGTGGGTGTGGTGGCACAAGCCTGTAATCTCAGCATTCAGGAGGCTGAGGCAGGTGGATCTTCATGCGTTGAGGCCAGCCTGGGATCCAAAAAAGTAGGATTCTTTTTTTTGATTAGGACATAGTTTTCCTTACAAGAGGGTGGTCCAGGTGAGGGCCCAACCCTGAGAACCCTGCTCATCCCTGCACTGAGCCCCACCCTTACCTGAGCTATCCAGACGGCAGGGCCCAGACTTGCACTTCTTGTCTAGAGGAAAGAAACAGTGAAGAATCAAAGCCTCGGTAATTCTCCAGATGGGAAGGGCCCTTGGCACTCTGGCAACCTGCCCTGACTTGGTCTCAAAAATGCTGGTTTGTGGCCCCTCATTCTGTTCCCTAGGGTGGGACAGCCCTCTCATGGCTAAGTCTGACTTGCCCCAGCTAGGGAGTGGTGGGGGTCCAAGGGAGCCGGCCAGCCAAGTCAGAGTCCCTTCTGAGCCACCCTTACTCCCTGTCCTGATTTTACCCCCTGTCCTGATTTTACCCCCTTTGTCATGCCCGCCTCCCCCTCCCATACCTTGTCTCTGCCGGAAGGGTGAGCTGGTCTGTGTTTTGGCCTGGCCTCACCACCACACCAGCTCTGAATGCCCACTTTGCTGGTCGAATGGGACCTGAAGGTAGAAACTATGGTTCCAGCGAACTACCTGCTTCTGGCTGTGAAAACTGGGCCTCACTCTGCCAGAAATAGCAGACCACAGCCCTTCCGAGATGAAGAATGGGCCCATACTAAGCTAGCTATGTAGCACATGCCTGTAATTCCAGCAGTACGGTGCCTCCCGTACTGCTGAGGCAGGAGGATTGCAAGTTTGACCTCAACGTAGGCAATTTAGCAACTTAAAGTGAGACCCTTTCTCAAAAAGGAGAGGGGCTGGGGATGTAGCTCAGTACAAGGACCCTGGGTTCAATCCTCATGATCACCCCCTGCCCCATTCTCATGATTTGTCCCCTGGCAAGCCTTGGAGGATGAACGGGAGGAGCAGCCGACGCCTGCCTGATCATAGCTGGAACTGGAGTTTAGAGGGACAACACTAGTGTGTGTGAGTGCACATGCGCACGCACGCGCACGCACACACACACACACACACACACACCTGCCTAGGACGTGATAGCACATCTGCCTCATAAAAACACTCTGGAAATTCTGTTGGGGCTCTTACTCATTTTTGGCAAAAGCAGTCTGTGTATCGATAATGTGACTAGAAAATAATTCCCTCCCAGCTTCCAGCCAGGAAGAGAGACTGGTCCAAGACCCCTGCCTTGGTCAGGGAGCCTTCTTCAGCCTTGCAGTAGCAGGCAGGTGGCCTCAGGGACATGAAGTCTAGGCCTCCCCTGACATGAAGGGTTAGAGAGGCTCGTGCATATGACCTGTTTGTACTGCTGGTTTGCATTCCAAATGTGTGCACACTCTTGGACTGGATGTCGAAACCCACCTTCCACACAGGTGCCACTCCGTGCCCTCCTCACCTTTGATGTACTCACAGTTGTACAAGCTGCGCTTGCCCAGGGCCCGGAGGTAGATGCGAGCAGGGCCCTGGGCTGGTCGGCTGGCATTGATCACTTGGAAGGTCTCAAAGGGAGGGATCAGTACCTCCTCCTCTCCAGGGAAGAAGGAGTAACCTCTGATAGGAGCCCCTAAGCAGGTCCAGATGCCAAAGAAGGTGTCCTCTCCAAACTGCTGGGCTGCGACATTCTGCAGGGATGCAGAGGTGAAGCCCCCCAGCCTTACTGTGGCTCCAGGCCCTACAGGCCGAAAACGCAGGCCATGCACCCCTCGGTATACCTGGAGGCACCGGGGTGGACGCTGGCCTGTGCCCAGCAGCTGCAGGGCCTCTGTGAGCAGGAAATGGAGTGTCTTGAAGGAGAAGTGCTGGAGGTAGTGGGCCCGGGAGCGGCCAGCCTCACGCACAGCTGCATTGAACTCCTTATGTAGGGGGCTGTTGGCGGTGTAGGCCAGAAGGGCCACCCCATGCTCATCCCGGAAGCCAGGGGGCGGCGGGGATGGCCGGGTAGCGCTCAAGCCCCACTCTGGCCCCCAGGCCTGGCGCTCCTGCCACTGGCTGCTTGCCAGTGCCCAGCCTTCTGCATAGACTTTGTTGGCCTGGAACTCTGTGTCATTGAGTTCCGCGAGGGCAGCTGTCATGGCTGTCACACAGCCAGCGTACTGGTCATCAAAGGAGGCCAGGGCCATGTCCAGCGGTGTTTCTTGAGAGAAAATGTCTCGTCGTGTGATGGAGTGCCTCTGGACCTGAGGGAGAGATGATGGACCTGTCACCCTGAGGTAGGATAGAGGAAATAAAGACACTTTTGAAATGACTGTAACTTTTGGGACCCAGTTTTAGTCACCCGAGGCCATCCATTGTGGGCATTCCTTGGTTAACTTAGGCTCCTTTCCTTCCATTACATCCGGAATACCTAAAAAATACTCTAAGTCCTTAAATTGGCTTAGTTGAGAGAATATAGAACAGAAACCTGCTCTTAAAATAAAAGAACAGACTGATAGAATTCAAAGAATTATTAAGGTATCATCTAAAAAAATGAAAACCTGAACTGAGTTTCTACCTGTAAAATGGGCCAGTACCCTTCTGGACAGTGGGCCAGCTTTACCGCAGGTCTTTACACCCTTGAGAGAAACATAAATGTCCCCGGTTCCAAAAGAAAGCATACCTCTCAAAAGGGCCCACACTCTATTTCTCTGAGTGTGTACTTTTATAATTCCTACCAATAAATCCTTTTATGCCTCTTTCTGACTAATCCTGAACATTCTTTTTCCATGATGGGAGTCAGTGAATCTACAACTTACTTTGCAGTAGGGAGGTTTAGGGTCCTTATCTCTGCTTGGGCAACCTCCTCCCACCGTGTCTGGTGACAACGCAGTTGCCCTGAGGTGGGACTTGCTCTGCTGAGAAATGCCAACGGGCTGCAACCCCCCAGGGAGAAGAGATTGGGAGCTTCTGGCTGTGTGTTGTGTACCCTAATACCAGTGCTATTTCCTTTGGTGGAGCCACCTTCCCCACGGAAGCATAGACATTCTTTTCTTCCTTTCAGGGTTCAGCTCTTCCAGGATAGGGAATGTGAAGGATGACCATACCTGAAGGGAGTCCAAGAGGCCCAGAGACACAAGCAGCAGAGACAGAATGGCAGGAATCTGCATGTTGGAGGTGAGCCTGGGCAAGTTGGTTTCTCTTTTTGGATCTCAGTTTCCTCATCTGGAAAATTGCAGTGTTAATCTGTAAAGTTAAATAAACTGACAACTTGTATGCGCCACTCCCAGTGCTTGGCACAGTGCATCACAAGATAGAAATGGAGACTCAGAAGAGAGAGGGGAACCTTCTTGTTGGAAGGACTATGTGAGACTTCATAGAGGAGAGAGCATGTGAACAGGGTCTTGTAGGATGAATAGGAGAAAAAAAATCAGCACATTGAGACTGGGAGAGAAAAGACTAAAGTTTGGGGAGGAAAAGGATGTGGGGCAGAATGAAGGTCTCAGAGGTAGGGACTCTGAGGATGAAGGACAGGTCTAGGCTGGCAGAGCTCACAGTGGGGAAGTGCTGAGGATGAGCCAGTCGCAAGGGACTTGAATACCACTTGAGAGGTCCAGGCTTCACCTTCGCCAGGCCAGAGATCAGAGCAGGGACAATTTCTGGAGAGGCCAGAAGTGGGACCAGAGCCACACTCAAGGGACAGACTGAGAGGAGGCCAGAGGCCAGAGAGCCTCCGCACTCACTGAAGCACCTGCATACAGGTGTGCAGCTGAAACTACTTTGGGCCTCAGCTGCACCCAGGGAGAGGCAGGTGGAGACTCCTGGGTGCGGAGGAAGACAGAGTTAAGAAGACCCCTACTTCCCATGAACAGCTGAGAAAACCATAGCCTCTTGCACCCTAAAAGTGGGCACCCTGAGGGCCCAAAGTCCTACTAAGAATGGGGGGGGGAGGCCGTCACCCAGTGTTGAGTCAGTACTGGGACAGAGGTCCCTAAGCCAGTGCTGCCTCTGTGCTGACTCCTCTTTCTCTTTTTTCTTCTGCTTCTTTTTGTTTATTTTATTGCAAAGTAGTTCCTGTTTGCATTGGGGGAAGTGATTATATGTCCTTGTTCATAAGCCCAGGGCTCCTTCCTTCTTTCTCTGTCTGCATTCTTCCCTCTCCCAGGCACAGCAGCCAGTGGCGGGAGTGGAGGTGGGGTGGCTTTCAGCACCTTTTTCAAAACATATGCAAATGATGCCATATTTATGTACACATATGTAGTTTTCTATATGTAGCTTGTTTTGTTTTTTACTGTCATTTGAAAAATAGATATGTTATAATGCTTACACACACATCCTATAGCCCCGCTTCCCCAGGAAACAGTGTATCAAGGGCTTCTTTCCCACCAGTATGTACAGATCTACCTTGTTCATTACGGTGGCGGCAGGGTGTGTTTTATGCTATAGTTAAATCATATGTCAGACACTTAGATTTCTTCCTAATTTTTATATATTACATATAATCTACAGTGAACATTCATTATATAAATTGTTGTCTACTTATGCTTATATTTTTATAGGAAAGACTTCTAGAAGTAGAATGAGGTTTCAAAGCTATGAGTATTTTTTTTTTTGATAGGCACTGCCAGATTGCCATTCAGCCTGACATGGTGGCACGTGCCTGTAATTCCAGCACTGAGGGAGGCTGAGGCAGGAGGATCATAAGTTCAAGTCCCTGAGGATCATCTGGGCATCTTAGCAAGATCCTGTCTCAAAATTTTTAAAAATAAAAAAATAAAACCGCTGGTGATACAGTACTGTGAAACAAAACAAATAAATTGGCGTTCAAAAGGTACCAGTTTACTGCTTCCCCACACACACATCAAATGAGGAGAGTGTGCTTTTCTCCACATCTTTGCCAGTACTGGATATTTTTTATTTCATTTAACTGGTTTGGAAATCTATCTTCATATTACTATCAACACAAAGTCATAAATACATCTTTCACCTCGAAAGGTTTTCTTGTGTGCCTTTAAAATTTTTTAAAAAAAATTTTGATGTCATTTTGTTTTTGTGTCTGTGTGTGCGTGGTAAGAACATGTAATGTGAGATCTACCTTCTCAACAAAATTTTAAGTGTCCAGTACCTTATTGTTAACAATAGGCACTATGTTGCAGCAGAATAGACTTTAAAAGCACATCTTGCTCCTTGTTGTAGTCTCTCTACATTGTAGGTCCTCGTTAAAGACTGCACTGAGAATGTCTCAGACTTCCAGGAATATGGCAAAGTGGTAAGCAGCAACAAATCAGGAATCCAGACACGGGAAAATAACAACTTAGGCAAGAAAAAGAGGAGGGAGGTGGATCCTTGAGACCCAGGAAGGATCTGAAGGGGGAAAAATGTACCTTACAGAGAAATTGAAGACAGATCTTAGTGCAGAAAAGTGAAGGGTCAACTTGCATTATCTCCCTGGCTCCTGGTATGAGAAAGGAAGAATGAATCTACAGAGACACAGTGAAAGTGGGGGACTCCAAAGACCTCCAGGGAGAAATACACTAGTAGAACAGAGGAGTAGATGCTGTGTGATATAACAGCTGGTGTGAGACTCTAGTCCAGGGACTGCCAAATCCCTTGGAGAAAGTGCTTGGACGGATGCCAGTTTAGGGAGGAGCCAACTGAACCCAGGACTCAGAGCAGCTGTGTGTTGGCTTCATCTCAGAGCCTCCAGCGTTAAACTCCCACAGTGACTGGCTGAGGGAAAACCACAGGAGATATCCAGGGTCAGGGAGCCACAGGCAGGCCACAAAAGACACCCCAAATATTACAAGCTAACGGACTCAGGACCCACCCTCACAACCAGAAGTCAGGATCAGCCTGAATCTTCATGGATTTGAAAGTATCAGAACTAGCACCCCACCCTAACCTTATTGTAAGCTTGCTGGGATTATCTGTCACAGATCTGAGTTCTGACTGCCTCCTTTGTTAGTGAGAGCAGTCACATCCTGAATTGGACCCTTCCACAAAATTGTAGACCCCAAAAGATAATCATAGGCTTGAAAACAGAAATTTCTTCCCTGTTTTTTTTCTTTGCTATTATTTATTTATTTATTTATTTATTTATTTATTTATTTATTTATTGTTATCAGGGATCAAACTTGGCACCTTGCGCTCATGAGGCAGGCAACAGAACCACTGAGTTAAATCTGTGGCTCTCTTTGCTAATTTAAAAAAAAATTCTGTTCTTTTTATTTTTCCATGAGTGTGCACATTATTTTAATTATTTGTTTTGTTTTATTTTTGTTTTTGTTTTTTCCTTCTTTCTTTCTCTCCTTCCTGTCTTCTTTACCAGTTTCCTAAGGCTTGAGTAATCTTCCTTTATCCTTCAGCCTTACTTCTAATCTCTTTCTCTTCTGTGTTTTTCTCTTTTTTTCCTCTTGTCTCTAAAATTTTTCCCCTGGCCAGGGATTTAGCTCAGTGGTTCCACCACCTGCCTCATGAGTGCAAGGACCCAAGTTCAAGCCCCAGTACAAAAAAAAGGCCAAATAAAAAAAAATAAAAATTTCCCCTTAAGGTAAAATCACTCTGTTGAGAGGATATTTACTCTACACAATTTTCAGATTGGTTTATTGCATAACTATACATCTTGTACCTATGGTTAAAGGGGGCAAATTAACAGTTATCACAGCATGTCATTTTCCATTCTGTGTTTGATGTTATTGTTATTACTGATTATACTACTTTAGCCAAGGTGGCATAGTTGCTATGATTATCTGATCTTCCATTTATGTCAATACCAGGATTGTCTGGGGATCATCAACAATATTATAGTCCAGTACCAGAGAACTGGGTGTTAGGCCAAACAGGCTGTACATCCCTAATAAATTGGAGATGAAGGATCCTGGGACAGACTCACAAGCCAGCTATGCTTGGAGGCCATCTCTGAAAAGTAGCCATTTCCTAAAGAGATCTGATAGTAGTAATAAAGCTACCTACCATAGCAAATTACAGCCAGGGATTTAGCTCAGTGGTTCCACTGCCTGCTTCACAAGTGCAAGGTCCCAAATTTGATCCTCAGTGCCAAAAATAAAAAAACAAGCAATTTGCAAACTTGGAATTAGAGAAAACAGCAACAAAATAGAAAATCAGAAAATAATGAAGTACTACACAACCCATTACCTTAAACTCAACCAAGGCAAATCCATAGGGCATTGAGGTGGAAGAAATCCAAAGCCACCCAACTGAATTTTCCAAAATGGTAGCAGCAGAAGTAACAAAACAAATGAATAAGTCTCTTAACCAAAAAAATAGAAATAATTACACAGATAATTAAAGAGATGATGAAGATAATAAAAGAAATTGTTAGTGTATCTAGAATATAGATTGTCTTTAAAATACAAGCTTAATGCCAGGCATGGTGGTGCACACCTGTAATCCTAGCACTCAGGAGACTGAGGCAGGAGGATCACTGTGAGTTCAAGATCAGCCTGGGCTACATAGTTCCAGGTCAGTCTCAACTATATAGTGAGACCCTGTCTCAAAAAATAAATAACTAAAAATAAAATTAAAATATAAGCTTATAAAAGACATGTAAACCATGAATTACCAATATAGAAAAGAGATGGACTCCATACAACAGACTCAAATAGGAATCCAGGACATTAAAAATTGCACTGAAGGGCCAGGGATTTAGCTCAGTGGCACTGCGCCTTCCTCCTAAGCACAAGGTCCTGAGTTGATCCCCAAAACCAGGGAGGAAAAATAATTGTCCTGAAAGTATATGTAGTAGAGTCAACCAATGTGAAAACAGAATATCTAGAAGACAGGGTTGTGGCTGGAAATCATCAAATGAAAGATCTCTTAAAAAATAGCAAGGGACAATGAAGAATAAACCCAACAGCTGCTAGATGATGCAAAGAAGACTAATAAAAGGTTCACTGGAATTGATGAAGCATCAGAAGATATCACAAAGGGCATAAAAAACCTGTTGACATAATAACAAAACTTTCCAAACATGGAATAAGAATTTGATCAGTTAGGCATAAGAACTCTAAATAGCCATGATCAGAAAAAACTACAGCAAGACACATAATAGGATTCCAGAAATTCAACACAAGAGAATATTAAAAGCTGTTAGAAAAAAAAGCTGTTAAGAGAAAAGAAATCACTTATAAAGGGATACTCATCTGAATCACAGCAGACTTCTCAACACAAACCCTTAAGTCAAACCAAGCCTGGAGTGAAGCATT